TCGGTGACCAGCCATGTTCAGATGGGGAAGCAGAGCCCTGTAACTGCCAGAAGCACATCTTGGTGGGAGCGGGGAGCATCCTGGGGCAGAATTCCAGGAAGCACGCGTTCTCTCCTCCACATATCACTCTTCACCATTGGCAGGAAGCAGCCATTCGCAGAATGTTCTAGCATTCTGCTTGTGGGGGGGACATGGGGGTGACTTCAGAGTTTACAGCCTCCTCGGTCCTTCCCCTGGGGCTCCCAGGCTACCTGGGCAGCGTCCCTCAGGCCCACGAGACAGGCTGTAGCCTGCTCTGGGGAGAGCAGAGCCATCTGGCTTCTGGGGCGTGGAGGCCTCGGGCAGGTGGGCACTGCCCCATTTGGAGTCTGAGGAGATGAGAAATGGAGGCTGCACCTGGAGGGTGTACTGCAGGAGCTGCTGCCCAGGCACGTGCAGGGCAAAGGTATCCTGCAGTCAGGCCATGGATGGGCCCAGCCCTGAGCGTCACATGACATGGCTAATCAGAGCTTATTGGGAAGACGCTGGCAGCTCCCCCAGTGGGGACGGTCGCTGCCAGGAACCGGTCACAGAGTTGCAGCAGTCGGTGTGGAATCTGCCAGCCCACCATCTGTTTACCGGCCATGTGCTTGTCTAGTCCAGTCCAGGGTGGCAAATTACGGCTTAATCCCCTGTACACACGGCTCCAACAAGAAGCTGCTTGTCACCAAAGCAAAGGTTCAGTGAAGAAGCTAATGCTGAACTGTCTATCTTCATTGGGAGGGGCTTTCATTGGCCAGCCACTGGCCTACTGCAGAGATGTCAGGGGCTCTGGCCACGGATGACGTGTGGACCGCTCAGCACAGGGAGGAAGCCCTCCCTACTCCTGCGGCTTGCTGACCATGTCTATCTCTCTGGACATTTATTGGCCTTCCCTTTCAGTGCCCACCATGGGCATGCGGCCCACACTCTGGTGTCCATTGAGAGGGGGGCGGCGTGGTTGGCCATGAGCAGCCTGCTGGGGAAAGGTCTCGAGGACAGAGCGGTGTTGGGTTGAGCCTTTTGGCCATCAGTGGTCCTGCCAGGCCAGCCCCTGTGGTGCTCCCAGCTGCTGTGGCCTCAGCTCAGATCATGGCTCCCTCTGCCCTGGACGCGCGTATGCCTCTGTTGTGCCCATGCCTGGATATCCTAGAGTTTCTTTTTTTTTTTTTTTATTTTTTTATTTTTTTTTATTTATTTATGATAGTCACAGAGAGAGAGAGGCAGAGACATAGGCAGAGGGAGAAGCAGGCTCCATGCGCCGGGAGCCTGACGTGGGATTCGATCCCGAGTCTCCAGGATCGCGCCCTGGGCCAAAGGCAGGCGCCAAACCGCTGCGCCACCCAGGGATCCCTATCCTAGAGTTTCTCACACATTTCTCACACTCCGCAGAATCACAGGGCAACTACGTGAGATGCTCCAGATCAACTGCTTGGGAGGAAGAACCAGGTTATTTTAGCCCAACATTGGGCGGCATCAGTGCTAATATATCCATATACTGCTGTTCCACATGAAGGTATTGGGTCTGGGCTCTGCTGCCCGTAAGTGGCAGGCGTTGTCTCTGTTGCTTCCTGCTCCTCTGTGGGCCACTTGGCCTGCGGCCTGAAGCCTGGTGCAGAGCACTGGGGCCCAGGAGACCGAGCCCAGGTGTGCGAAAAGCCCCAGGATGGCCATGCAAGGCCATGGCCACCGGTCTGTTTTGTGAGCCAGCACCGTAGAAGCAAATGAATAAAGTCATAAAGTAGAGCAAAACAGCTGAGCCTGGTTGGAAGAAACGTTTCAAAGGAAATAATCCTGGATTTAGATCACACATTTTGGGGCCTACAGTGAGTTTTTCAAAACCTCCCTGGGAAAGGCAGGTATTTGTAATGGAAATGCTGACAGCTCTACAGCCCTCGCCTGGGCGTCTGCAGGGGCTGGACAAGCAGCTACTGCTGCGTGTGTGATCTGCTTGGCATTATGGAGATGATGCATACCCTGCTCTCACTGCTTAAATTCAGAGGGGCCTTTTTTTTTTTATTATTGTTATTAACTCATCAGGATGCTACCAGCTGCACACCCTAGTAGTACAGGCTGGGTGTGAACCTGTGGTCTGTCCTCCACCATCCCAGGGCTGACCCAGACTCCACGGCAGGTGGGTTGGACCCCTCCAGGCCTAGCCCCCCACCCAGCTCCTGTGCACATCCCCGGCTCAGCAAGGGCCTGGGGGTGGCTCCTGCACCTTGGACTGAGCCTCGCCCTTAGCCCTGTACTCTTTACTCTGCACCCATGGTTTGGTGCATATTTCAGGAGGGCCCTGCGTCCTGCCTTCTCCCCTGACCTCTCAGGCAGAGGCTCTGCCAACCCGAGTACTCTCCCTCTGATTTCCATGTAGCCTTGGAAGTGGCCAAGGCAAGGCCAGGGGCATGTGGGGTGCCACCCACACTCTGATGCTCCCTCTGGGGGCACATGGGGGCCACGGTGTGGAGAAGGGAGATGCATCTTTGCTGTACCCTCTTCCCTTTCACTGTCCCTCACATCTGCCCTGGGTGGCCCCTCCTCTGGACACCCTGTGTCATGGCCCATCCCAGGTGGATATCCTAGAGTTTCTCACACGTTTTTCACACTCAGCAGAATCACAGGGCAACTACGTGAGATAGTTGGACAGTCGTGACCAAGCCAAGTCCTATCCTAGGCCCTAACTCAGATACCGACTCTAGGGCGACTTGTGCCCCATGCACTCACCTGACACCTCCTGGGCCTCAGCCTGGGGTGGCTCGCTCTGCCTGGACACCCTGAAACTCCGGCCTCTGAGTTTAAGGCTTATTGGTTGGCTCAGCCTCACTGACCTCTGACGTTCTGTCTGTAGTAGGAATGTTATCTCTACTTCCCATGCATGGGTGACCGCTGAAGCCTACCCCCCAATGTTGTGGCAGGACCGTGGGGGTGCCCTGATGCTGGCGTCTCAAATCCAAGTGGGAGCTGGGGCCCCTCAGCCTCCTGGATGGCCTGACACGACACACTTTGTCTTTCTGATCCCCCTTTCTCCTCTGATTTTATTCTCTGGTTTTATTGCGGTGTCAAGGGCGACATGCAGGAGCCCATCGCGGACACTGCTCTGGCAGAGAGCCTGCCAATGAAAGCATCCTTCCCACCATCCCTGCCCACACCCCTGAGCCACTGGTGGCCTCTCAGGGACAGGCACGCCTGTGCTTGCCTCCTTGTCATGCAGAAAAACCCTGGCTGAGGCCCAGATCTTGAAGTGAATTTTAGGAAAACCGGTGCTTCTTCAGAGTGAAGGGACCTTTTCACATTTGAGAACACTGAGAAGAAATGGATGGGCTGGGGATGTCCCTGTCCACCTGCAAGAACACCTATTCCATGTCAGGCCAAGGAGCTGTGCTCCAGGCCATCACCTTCGTTCAGAGAGCAGTGCCAGAGCTGGGCAATGACTGGCCTCAGGGCCTTTGCCCTTCGGGAATTCAAAGAGCTTGTGTCCATAGGCTGGACATTTAGGGATGTGATGTGTGCTGAGAAAAAAAGGCAGAGCAGGGCTGGAGCCCAGCAGGCACGCCGCCCCGCCTGCCTGCTGCCACACTGGGATCCAGCCACCTGCTGCTGCCTCGTGGTCGGGAAGCTGGACGAGGGCACCCATGCCCAGTGATGTAGGGGTCATTGTGGCCACTGCTCCCAGCACCAGCAGAGCCACAGTGCGCTGGCAGAACCTGTGGGCCAGCCGGGCCCACCTGAGCCCGTGACACCCTCAGCTGTTTGTTGGCTCAGGAGGAAACAAAACGCAAAGGCTTGAGCTCCTTCATGATTTACTCTGTGCTTCTCGAACTAGGGCTCCCGCAGGGCTAGCTGGTGGTGACTCCATTTCTTCTGCTACTTCTGAAAGGATGAGGGACAAAGAGTAGAATTTTACAGGCATTACCTAGCAAAACGACATTTATTTAACCCATCTTGTAGAGACATTCCCAGGCTGCTTCTCACATCACATTGTCTTCCTGGCCACACTGAACACATGGTAACCAGTTCTCTGTCCTCTATTCTGTGCACGGGGCCCCTTTAGTAGGAACTTAGCTTGAGCCCAGCACAGACCGAGAAGGAAGGGCTCTGTTGCACACCTGGGATGGAAAACTTGCTGGGACTGCAGGAGGCAGAGTCAAGTTGGCTCGCAGAAGGTAGTTGACCTTGAGGCCCCCCAGCATCTCCAGGAGCATGAGGCCTTGCCCCCCTCAGGTGCCGCCCAGCACAGCTCCAGTAGGGAAGGCTGTCAGCCAGCCTGGGTGCTGACCCTGGGTCCCCCAGGCTGCTCAGGGGCTCGAGCCCATCCCACCTAACCTGATAAGCACTGCCTGGGATCGAACTTTTGTCAGAGGCAAACTTTTCCGGTGAAGACATCTGCTATTTTATGGAACAAGTGGGGAGAAAGGGAAGAAGCAGTGCCCTGAGTCCTTGCAGAATCGCTGAAAACAGGACGGTCTTGCCCCCTCATAGACTGGGGGTCAGATCAGCCTGCGGCGAGCCTGGTCCTGCAAACAGCATCCGTGGCTGCTGCCGAGCAGGTGGGACACTTGCCACCACCTGCTGTCACCAGGGACAGTTGTGCATTCTGCTCACATGCCTTGCGTTTTCCTGCCCACATGGCCAGAGTGGTGCCAGGCAGGCCAGACCCGTCACCGTGGGGAGTGTGGGGCCCATGACTGGGCATTCCTTCTTCCTCTCCCCTGCCCCATGCCCTCTGCAGGTGTGCACCTCACACCCCAGAAATGGGCACTCTGGGAAAGGATGGGGCTACCCCAAAAACAGCTGCTCTGGAGACCTTTGCAATAAAGTCTTTGGGGGTCACTGCTGCCTCTGCTGTGTTCGTGCCCAGCACCACTCACAGGGAGGTCTGTTGGAAAGGCCATGTGAGTGAGAACACATTGCCGGGTGGGGAGGACGCGGGCTGGGGCCTGTGACCTCTACTTACTGAAGCTTCCCCTCCCTTTCTCACCTAGCTCAACGACTCGGCCAAGCAGCTCATGGAGATGGACAAGGCCTGCCCAGCCGCTGTGTCTGGCTGCCACGCCCTGGTGCCCTCTGACCCCGGCACGGCAGCCAGTGTGGCCCTGGGACCCTCAGCGAGCAGCACGGGGGCGGTCAGCGCCTTTCAGCGGCGTGCGGACAGCAAGAAGAACGCCAAGAAGCGCCACTCCTTCACCGCGCTCAGTGTGACACACAAGTCCTCCCAAGCCACGAGCCACAGGCACTCCATGGAGATCAGCGCTCCAGTTTTGATCAGCTCCAGTGATCCCCGGGCCGCAGCCAGAATCGGGGACCTGGCCCACCTGTCCTGCAGCGCTCCCACCCAGGTAATGTCCTCGGGTCGTGGACAGGGCGGTGCTGGGCCTCTGGTCCTGGGGTAGGGAGCCGCATCCTCAGCCATGCGCTCAGCGTCCCGTCTCCCAACTAGCAGAAGGAAGGCCACGGCAGCTGTGCCCCTGGGGGCCACCATGACTTCCCAGTGTCTGCCTGGCCTCAGGGACCCCCAGGCCTTGGTCTCGTAGCTCCCAGGGTAAATGGAGGAGTGGTACTCGGTGTTGGAAAGGTGACCTAGGTGGTGTGTGACACAGGCCTGTGTACTCGAGAAAGTCCTCCTTTGTCAGCATGCACGCAGGGCATCCAATTGAGTCTTGCAGGAAGTCTGGGTACAGTTTATTGTCAGCATGGTATGTTTTTAGCATCTCTGTTGCACTTGCTAGTCTCATTTCAACAGAGCTCAGAACCAGAATGAACTGCATTGTTTAGTACTTTGATTTTTATTTTTACAGAGACCTTCTATTTCTAGACATAGCACTGGTTCCATTCCAGAGGTAAGATGAAGGAAAGAGGGGGACGTTATTCTCAAGCTACCAGCCATTGTTTGCCCCACACACCACGTGCTGGTCTCCGTGTGCTGGCCATGGTGTCCTGTAATCCGTGGGTAATGATTGCCAGGCTCAGGCTTCCCCGGTGTGCCCAGGAGCTTCTGAGTGCACATCAGCAGAGTTCCTGCCCCACAATGTGTGGGCTCTGGCGTTCTGTCTGCCTCGCCCTCATCCTCACCTATTCTCGCCCTCCTGTCTGTCCACAGCTCCTGAGTTAGTGCGGCAGAAGGCAGGTTCAGGCCATGCAGTCTGGGTCTACTAGAGACAGGCTCTAGGGTAGGAAGGGAACAGGTTTTCTTTTTTTAATTTGTGTCCCATTTTGTTGCACAAGGACCTCAGTGCTGAGTCAGCTCATCCTAGCAAGGACTGGGACCCTGAGTCCCATTTTCTGGCAGTTACACTAGAAGTGAAAGTCATGGCCAGGCTCTAGGCTTTCGTCAGGGTCATTGAAAAGGGTGAGAGGTCAAGCAAAGCAGTTTCCACCTATCTCCCATCCCATATTAATTATTGGGACACATAAGAGGTGGCATTGAGCAGCCGTAGGAAGGGTAAGCCACCACAGGCTGTGTCCTGCAGGCACCAGCATGCCGTCTGAGGTCAGATGCACCCGGAGACCGACCCCAGCTCTGCCGCCTGCCTGCTGCCTTCCTGGCTAGGTGTGACTGTGCTGACCCGTGGTCACACCAGGACATCCATCTTCTGGCCCACCCGAGGACCCGTGTGCCAGCTGTAGGTCCTGTAGTTGGCCACGGTGCCATGCGGATCGTCTCCCCACTGTGCCAGGCACACTGGAGCAGGACCCAGTCCCAGGTTTCTGTGCCTGGCATGCAGACCTGGGCTTTGTGATTATGAACCTGGAGAAACGCAGCATCATTGCAGGCCTGCCTCCATCCACAAACGGAGGCCTGTACATGCCAGACAGATGTCAGGGGATGGGTTCCAGGCTGGCAGAGCAAGACTGCCTGGGCCTCCTGGTGCCCTGGGGCATGGAGTGTGCAGGTAGACCCCTGCCCTCCTGTCCCCCAGGCCCCTGCAGACAGGCCGTGACGCACACCATCATCACTGACAAGATGAACCCTTAACCCCCTGTGAGATGAACAAGGCCAGTCATCAGGAACCCAGGCCAGCTCTGCCCACATGCTTGCACCCCCACCCACACACCCAGGACTTCTTGGGCCACAAGAACAGAGGTTTAGGACTTTAGGCCAGGGGTCCCAGAGCATCTTCTTCTGGAGAATGAGGGCAACTGTGGTCACTGGTTGTCACAGTTACTGAACCCTGGTTGAACACTGCACAGTGTTTTGTTTTGTTTTGTTTTTAATTTTTATTTATTTATGATAGTCACACACAGAGAGAGAGAGAGAGGCAGAGACACAGGCAGAGGGAGAAGCAGGCTCCATGCACCGGGAGCCCGACGTGGGATTCGATCCCGGGTCTCCAGGATCGCGCCCTGGGCCAAAGGCAGGCGCTAAACCGCTGCACCACCCAGGGATCCCTGCACAGTGTTTATAGAAAGTTTGTGGCAACAGGCCTGTGTGTCCTGGACAAGCAGCTACCTGCATGGAAATGGGGTGGCTAAGTGTGTGCTCATGGTGTGCATGGCCTTGGGTGTGCATGGCCTCAGGTGAGCAGCTGCCACTGAGTTGGTCTGCAAGACCGGCTCTCATGTGACAGGTACCTTACATGGATGTGACTCTGATCAGAAAGGGCTGCCTTATGTGAAGTGACTATGCTGCTCTTTGTTTACTGGACTTGATCCTGAAACCCTGTGGTGGAAGATGAGCTGCATTCAAACCAGGCACGTGCACACAGAAACAGCGCAGGTGAGACGCTCTGGGATAGGGAAGCCCCCCCAGCTGAGCCAGAGCTCGTTACCATCGCTGACTCTCCTCGCTCTCCCTCGTGTTCCTTCGTAGAGTCGAGGGCAAGTGTCAGGGCTATGATTTCTGTACAAATGGCTCTAAAATTCGGTAGCTGCTTCTCAGATGGAAGGCAGTGAGCACTGTTGACCTAAAGCTGGGCCCACACCCTGCAGAGTGCAGTGGGGGTTGCACGGCTGCCTGGGGGTCATCCAGGGTGTGTGCAGTGTGCGGCTTGCGTGACCCCAGGCAGTGCTGCTCCAGCCTCATCTCCTCTGCTCCTGATCTCACCTCCCTTGTCTGGGCTTCTTTGTACATCTCACCATCAGGAGAGCCAGCAGGTTGGATTATTTTCATTTGCACATGAGGAAACTGAAGCCCAGAGAGCATGAGTCATGTCTCAGCACTGCACTGGCCTGACAGACTCCCTGCCCTTTCCAGATGGCATGGACACGAATCCAGGCTATGGACACCACGGCCCCTCAGCTCCTCTTCTGTAAATGCACAGGGCTGACCTCAGCCCCGGGAGATGGAGAAGGAAAATACAGCCAGTGCCTGTAGAGAGTGGCTGGCACTCTTTCCAGGCCATCCCCTCCCTCCCTCCCTTCCTCCCTTCCTCCTTTAGTCTGGGACCCAGGTGGCGTGCAGATGAGGGCAGTGTCTCAGTGGACAGCCAGGCTCCTCTGCTCATGGGCTGTGCACCCAGGAGAATTGCTGAACCTCTCTGAGCCTCTGGAGCTGCCTTTAAGCGCCAGGTTGATCATGGTCCAGGTGCCACCTCTTCCCAGATCCTCAGCTTTCTTGTCTGTTAAATGGAGCAGCTATTGCTGTGAGGGTAAATTGAGAGCACAGGCTGACCTCTTTTCAGTGAGCATGTGTAGTGGTTCCTCTGCCGCTGGGGATCAGGAACAAGCCACCGGCCCCGCTACATCGGGTATGTCAGCCGGGGCTCAGGCCTCATGTGTGCTGGCCACGTTCTCCCTGTACCGTGGACTGCGCTAGACGTTGGAGTGCCAGAGGCCACAGGTAGATGAAGGGGTGTGGCACCGCCGCCGCCCACAGCAGTACCTCGTGGGGGCCCGGACTGATGAGCATCCTGCCTGCCAGCGGCTCACTGGTCTGTCCCCAGCGACAACCAGGCCCAGCTGTGTGGGCCCAGGGCCTCATATACCCACCGTGCAAGTCCGAGGACCCTTCCCAGAATCCAGCCTTTGCAGCAGGTCCCCATCACCCGGAGGCTTGCATATCCCCTGACACAGCTCTGGCCCCACAGCACCAACGCGGCTGGTCTGGGTGCAGCCTGGGCTGGGCCTTGAGAGCTCCTGGCCTCCTGTGTGTAGCAAGAGGCACCAGCACCTCAGACACCTGCAGCAGCCCTTCTGTCCCCCTCCAGGCAGTAGTGCAGGCCAGCGCGAGACGTGAGCCCCGAGTCCACACTGGATGACCAGCACCCATCGCACCTGGCACTGAGGATGCCCAGAGCACAGCAGTAAAGTGCTAACAACGGGACAGTCGGGCATAGCAGGGCAATTGGTTGCCCTAGATTTCTCTTCCCTTCACTGGACCTCAGAGGGTGTGGGACCTGTGCTGGGTCCCAGAGGCCTGTCCGTTAAGCCAGGGATGCCTGGTCCCTGCCCCCAGGGCAATGGTAGAGGAGACTCGAGGCATTGCTGCAGGACAGAGCTGGGGATCCCGGCCATCTGGATTCTTGTTTGGTGTGTTTCATGCCACGAGGGGAGGCTTTTAAAACCTTCCAATCACAGGGCTGGCCCCACCAACGAAACCCATTGGAAAGGGAGGGTGGGCAGGCTGTAATAGCCAGGCCCATGTGCAGGGTGCTGTGTGACAGTCAGTGGGCTCTGGGAGCCACATCGGGCTCCCATCCAGGTGGGCTCAGGTCTGCTCCCAGGGCCTCATTAGATACCCTGCTCAGAGAGGCAGCAGTTCCCTGAGGCTTGAGAGATCGCTTCCCTCTCAGAGCTGAGACAGGCTCAGGATGCAGTCCTAGCACCAGGCAGGAGTGAGAGTGAGGGCTGAGAAGGATGCCGAGCCCTTGAAGCCTTTGCAGGGGGTCAGCTGTGCAGCAGGACACTGTGCTGGGCCTGAGGCTGGCACACTGTACCCTTGGGGCTGTTGCTCCACGGCTCTGGCTCTCAGAACAATTTGCATGTTGTCAAGGGTTGTTTTCAAAAAGGAAGAAAAGAGGATGGAGACAGAGGAAAAGGAGCCAGAGAACAAGCCAGAGGCTGAAGTATGCACTCCGTGGCCCTTGACACACAGAGGCTCACGTCTGAGGCAGCTTTGATGGCCTGGAAAGGCCGGGAAGGCCATGAGGTGAAGAAAAGGAAGAGCATGGCCGTCGTACGGCTCACCCCGGGTGGGAGCGTGGAGTCCTCAGGCAGAGCTAGAGGAAGGTTCTGACTTTGGCCTAAAGTTGAAAGGCACAAACACCAGGTCCTCCCTGGTCTGGCACTTGACAGGAGGCTGGGAAAATGGAAGGTTCTGGAATTCAAGTGCCTTTCTCGCCGTGGAGGGTACTGTCGGACACCGCCTTGTCGTGAGGTTTCTGTGCACCCCGTGGGAATC